TAATTCAACAGCCGGTCCGGCTTCCGGACAATGGATCTATGTATTTATGTATCTATGTATGTATGTATGTATGCATGATTCAGTTAGGGGCCAGGTCATGATGTTATGGGTCTCTTGCACTGCACGCTCGTACGTCTTACTTTTTTATGAGATTGTAATAAGCAGGGCCGGATTTTGTTTACCTGAAATATTTAAAAAATGACAGAAAAAAATCCAGAAAAATGACCTAAAATGTGACCCAAAAATGTAATATGCAAGGCCCGGATTTTGATGACCTGAAAATATATAAAAATGACCTATAAAATGACCGAAGAAATCCAGAAAAATGACCTAAAGGAGAAAAGAAAGAACACTTCGCTTCCATGTTATTCACATTTCAGAAAACATATGAATAAAAATTCCATAAAATGGCAAAAATGACAAGATATACCCTTAAAAGTCCAATTATTTACCAAAAATTACCCCCAAAATGAAAAAGTGACCTTAAACCTAAAAATGTAAAAAAATGAAACCTATAAAATTTACATTTCTGTAACCAGCTGCTCATATCCGAGATTTATATATTTAAGAGCATCGCATAGGATACAAGGAAAAAAAGATGACATGTCATCAAAATCCGGGCCCTGGTAATAAGACGTCCTGAACATGACACTTTACATCGCCTTACATGTGAAGTCACCGACGTCTCCACGTGCTCAGCAGCCCCAAATAAAGTTAACATAGAAAAGCTCAGGTGGGTGGGGCCGTCAATGTTGCAGATACGGGCACTGGGTCGCAGCCCCAGCGACCGAAAGCCACATGGAACAGCACGTGGACGGACCGCCTGAAGAGAGACCTACTGTTCTATTACGACAAGTTTGCGAGACCAGCACAGCATACCAACACGACTGTCGTCAACCTGGATGTGTCCTTCAAACACATTGGCCTGGTCGGTCTCCTAACTTCATTCCCTCTGTACAGTTTTTAACGTAGTTTTTATCAGTGTGTAAAAAGTAACATTAAGTATGAGAACTCCAAATGTGTGAAACACTGGTCAATGAGGTGACGCTAATGTAAAAAAGAGTAAATTTTAAATATCAGCTCTGATATGCCGAATGCAAATCCGGGCACGAATATTTTCAGAATTTTGTACACTGAATTTTGAGCTAAAGCAATGTCGTTTTTCACTTTTCTATATATTTTCTTGATGTTCTTACAATTTTTATCAGCCACAATTTTAGAAAATGATGTAATATTAGTGGAGCGGGGTCCATTCAGCCTCCTGAGGATAATTGAGGAGCTATTTTAAGGAAATAGCGGTTCTGGTCTAGAAAACCGAGATTAACGGCCGTGGGGATTCGTTACGCTGACCACGCGACACCTTCTATCCGCAAAAGTTGGCACTAACTTCGCTGACAAACCGCGGTCGCTCGGTCGGCAGAGTTCGTTTGAGGACTAAAACCACGGAGTTAGTTCATACCAATAATTCACAGTAATGAAATTCAGTATTGTCTATTGTCTTACTTTATATTTATCAGAAAGAAGGTTACATGCAAACAGATGCGTTATATCTGCAGTAAGATTTTAACATCACATTTTATAATTTCAGGATGAATTGAAGTCCACAATGACAGTACAAGGTTGGGTAAGAATGGTACGTACCAGTTGTATACTGTGTCTAAGCTCTGATGGTGCGTTATCAGCAGACAGTGCGGTATATCGTTAGATCAGCAATAAAAATCACTGGATACTACTTTCAATTTTAAACAGGAGTTAAAATCATAATACCATAGTTCTTGTTGGTCATAAGGAATTTTCTTCAATAAGGTTGGCTACTGAAAGTACAACTTACCCTCTGAGATAATTTAGATATTCTAATTTGTATAATCGCATCTGTGGTCTAGTGGTCAGATTTCCTGGCTACAAATCCTGAGGCCTGGGTTCGATTCCCGGCGTTATCAGATTTTTCTGAGAAGTAGTGGGTCTGTAACGGGCTCCATTAACCCTCGTGAGGATAACTGAGGAGCTATTTCAAGGAAATAGCGGTTCCGGTCTTGAAAACCGAAATTAATGGTTGTGGGGATTTGTTGCGCTGACCACGCGACATCCTCTGTCCGCTAAACTTGGCACTAACTTCGCTGACAAGCGGCGGTCGCTCGGTCGGTATAGATCACTTGCGGACTAAAACCACTCAGTTTGTTATTCTAATTTGTATATGCGATCCAATACACGGATTGTAAACTGAAATTTCTTTATAATGTTGGCAGACATGGGAAGACGAGAAGTTGAAATGGAATGAGAGTCAATATGGAGGTCTTAACATGCTTCATGTGGCGAACCATGAGATATGGCAGCCCGATATTGTGCCCTATAACAGGTACACCTGACTTTGTTACTGGTACGTATATAAGAAGACAGCTCAACTCTGATAAAAGCAAGATGACATTTCAGTTCACAACCTAAACAATAGTTGCAGAGTTCTGTCTTCTGGGGTGCATTACCGCGTAGTCCGGTGAAAGCTAGCCAACGTTTCCGTGGAACATGTCGCCTCTATCTTCAGGGTCAAAGAGTAAGCCAAACAAGAAACCAGCATGAAGCAGGCAACAATTATTCATTAAAAAAAATCATTGTTCTTATTTGAGCAAGAAATTTCACCAGAGCCAATAAACAAGAAAAATTACTTCCCCGTAACCAAATAGACTAAAATCGCTGGAGATTACTGTCTTCTGAAATGTGACGCCGTCTAATCTGGTAGATATTAATCGGCATTACAGAGGAATATCATTAAGTATCTACCAGACTATACAGAGTGACATCCGAGAAGCCAGTAATTTGCATTGTCACCGCCATTAACGGAGGAACATAGACTGAGGGTGTTTGAGAACAGGATGTTGAGAATATTTGGACCGAAGAGGGATGAAGTGACAGGGGGTTGGAGAAAACTGCATAATGAGGAGCTTCATAACTTGTACTCTTCTCCAAGTATAATTAGAATGATCATGTCAAGGAGGATGAGGTGTGCAGGGCATGTGGCACGAATGGGGAGAAGAAGAATGGATATAGGATATTGGTGGGAAAGTCAAAAGGAAAGAGACCACTGGGAAGAACAAGAAATAGGTTGGTGAACAATATTAAAATGGATCTTAGAGAGACAGGATGAGATGGTATGGATTGGATTGACCTGGCTCAGGATATGAACCAGTGGAGGACTCTTGTGAACACGGTTATGAACCTTAGGGTTCCACAAAATGCTGGGAAATTCTTGAGTAGATGCAGAATTGGCGGCTCCTCAAGAAGGGCTCAGCTCCATGAGTAATTAAGTAAGTACCGCCAAGAGAGCTTTAAATCTCACACATTTTATCATGTTTAATATTATCAACACGTCTAACCCATACTCTTTCTACCTTTAATATTTTCCAAAATACAGTTGTATTCATTTCTTATTCCTTCGGTTTATGTTTAGGCACATGCCTAGTCCCAAGAAGCAAGAGCATCTCTTGTGAAGCTGATAATTGTTTAGCTAGTATATAAGTGCCTTGACTTTTACGTAACCTGAATGTTCATTGCTGTGTTCGTAAGAGCTCATCACTTATTCCTATCTTGAGCCATGTAGTTCCTCTCCAGCTTTAACCCTACAAATGCCAAGCGTTGAAAATTTCGACTGTTACAAAAAATGCTATATCTGACAGCACCTGACATCTGTTGGCGTTTCATCTAAATTACGTAGCAAGAAAAATGTGGGGAGTTTATGATGTCATGATTTAGAGTGACTCTCGACGGGGTTTTGGATTGGATATTGGATTTATCTACCATTTTAACATATGACTCGTAATTATATTTAACTATAGCGCCATCGCTGATCCCCACACTTTAAAAATCACTGATACACACACTAGTGTTCTCAGTCTGTTAGACGTTTCCTGGTAATGACTTCTAACAGTGGAGATTCTTCAGCTTCCGCGCTCACGTCCTCTCTGAAAATCGGCTCCGTTGCAACTGAGCACTCTTGCAAGTCTAAGTCTTCTCTACACAGACTGACTTTCAGTTGACAACTGACTAAGCTCTAACCCCGTCAACATCTAGCCATGGACCGAGGAGAAAACGCCGTTTCCAACAGTACCTCTTTCTGCAGGAGTATCCGTTGCAGCGGCAACGTGTTTACCGAGCCGTTGCCTACACGCGAATGTTGTTTCTGAGCCGTTCGCTAGCAAAGGCTGTTTCTCTGGCTCCACAGACCTTGTTTCGAGCAAATATGCCACAGTATATTTAGTTTGAAAACAAGTCTGTCGGCATAATATGGCCGCTTCGAAGTGTAGGAATTGAAAATAACATTTACAGGATTAAGATCCGTTCTAATAGCACCCTTAATTATAGCGGCTAGATTTCGGGCTGCATAACAAGAGATTCTGCGTTAGTTTTCCTGCAGAAGTAAGAAATTTTTCTCTTCTCTATAGATTGGATCAGGCGACCACCAAACCTTCTATCCATTGGGTTCCAAGGGTTCTCTCGCCGAGGGTAAAGCGGCCGGAGATAAATGTTCATGATTCTTCTCCATCGAGGGCAAGGTTAAGAAGGCATGGAGCTGTACCTTCACTTCCTCACACGCTTTCATGGCGTGGTGATTAATTTTACTTTGCCTTTTCTCAAGTTTATATGTTCTTATTGTATCATTTTTAATTACTTTGTGGGTTTATCTTGTAACGTGTCACGAACTATATGGTGTCGAATTCTGAGAGATGTAACGGTCGACAATTTGGCCATTATCCGTCGCCAGATATTTTATGTGGAATTCCGTCGAATTGCAAGTGATTTAAAGATGAATCATCCATTCTCCAAATTTTTATATGAAATTACGTCGAAACGATAATTTTTTTGGACGTTGTCCATCTTCAAAATTTTTACGCGAAATTCACTTCGAGCTGTAAGTAATACAACGACACAACATCATCAGGTAGCGTGATAGATGACTAACGTATTGGAAGTTATCTGGAAGGTAACTTCCTTGGCCTACCTTTCCTATTAGCCCTCGGAAATATAAGAAAAATTACGAAATATCTGTCAGAATAGTTGGTAAACCAGCAGAGATTCGAACACAACACTTCCCGGATATAAGTCTAAAGCGTTTACCTCTATGATACCTCTTCAATTTATTTACACATACTGGATGTTTTTATAAGCAGCGGATGTCTAATCTGAGTACATTTTGTGTTCCATAACAACGTGCAGCGCCACGGGGAACGTGGTGGATCCCTATGGAAACACACAGTGCATCGTCTACCCTAACGGAGAGGTGCTGTGGGTGCCGCCATCTCAGTTCCAAGTGTTCTGTGACTTGGACCTGCGCATGTGGCCATTCGACACGCAAACGTGTCACCTGGTCCTTGGTTCATGGACATACGACGGCGAACACGTGGACATTCACCTCGATAAATATGGATCAGACGTAAATCTAACGATTTAATTTGTCGCATGAAAGCAAAGCAGTCCTTCAATAGTGCGGACATGAACTCTTGTACTGGATTTGAGGTTCACACAGCAGTGATTATGAAGGGTACTATTTTCTGAGATGCAACTTCTTGTAGTCTAGCACAAGTCCACCGACGTTTCAGAGGAACATTACCTTCATTTTTCAGTATCCAGGAATAAGACTAATCTGCTTCTTGCTAGTTTGTCGCTTAGTTTAGACTTCGACCCTGATAGTAGATTCTTCGGGAACGTCTGTGGGCTTCTGCTATGTTAACTAAGAGTTACATCGCCACAAGATTGTACTCTTAATGCTTATGTTGCTGAGATTGGCATTCTTTATTCTTAAATAAAATCATATGCTCTTTCCTTCCGATAAATGAGATATATTAATTGGAAAGAAACATTAGAATTTGTTTACTTTTGACATGATTTAATAAGTCCTTAGAATACACAAGGCAATGAGTCATGTGACGATACCGCACATGCGCGAATTATTGCCCGTTCCTACATTAGTTGCCTAAAAGAAAAGGAAGTTACTTTGCGGATAGCCCTCGTGTATTCTACACTTAAGATTTTATTCATCATAAGTTGGTGCTCGGTGAATATGAAGATTCTAGCTACAAAGAAGTGGCCCCCACCCAGAGTCTCGAAGCACGAAGTTTCAATTTTCTCTGTAACAGTCATAACGATTTAGATTAAATCCTCGTAAATCACGGAGACAATCTCCTAAACAAAACTGCATTGATGGTATCTTCAGACAAATAACGGTACGCCCCCTTGCGGCCCAAAAGCATACATGAGGTAACACGGAGGGGCCCAAAAATTTACACATACCATTCTGCCGGCATTTTCTTTGACTGCCTTGCATTCGATAAAATGGCTCTGGCATTCATGTGACTAGCACCATCTTTTGAGAGAGCATCACACTATACAAGTTACATTATATTTTGGTTCAACTTTGTGGATGTGTCCGTAGGTATAACCTCCATTAAAGTGTGTATACATTTTTCTTGGCCCCTCTGCATATGGAATATCTGCACCGAATTCTGTGCAGGGAGTTACGTTGGTATTATTTAAAGCGAAAACAATTTCTAGGAGAGAACTTTTGAGAGACTGTTTATGCAGATGATAACTACTAGGCTTACACTGAGTTAGAGAGTAATCGCATTGCTTGTTTAGGTGGAGCTGTTGGAGACGGGCTCCGAATGGGAGTTCGTGGGAGTGAAGAAGGCGCGGAACGTGAGGACGTACGCCTGTTGCGCAGAGCCGTATATCGATATCACGTACAACGTCACAGTGAGGCGACGATCGCCCACTTACAGCGCCATTGTCATCACCCCTGCCACGGGTGTGTATTGAATTTTTATTTCATGATATTTCTGGTATAGTTTCTTCTTCTAATATTTAAAAAGAAGTTCTGGGGAAAACTGCTACTTTCTTTTCAGCACATATTATCTGATATGACATGGAGAGCATAGAAATCACCGCGTTTACCTAGCCGCTGGCTAGCAACGGCCATATTTTCTTATTCCACTATCCCGGCTTTCAGGCATCAGGTCACATTTCTCCCTCTTTACGGCTGCTCGTCCCGAGCAGCCTTCAGACATGCCACTGTTCTCCATCCTCTCTTCCAAAGACTGCTCGTTTCGAGCAGTTGTTAGGGTGGGGACACAGACACTGGCAGAAAGGTGATCTCATAAGAGTTCTTTTACTTTATCAAAATAAGGAAAGTAGGCTAAAATAAACAATTACAACATACTGTATTTTAAGAACGTGAACATTTTTTCAATATTCTGTCTCTAACAGGACCAATCATCTTTTTAACATATATAGCTCATTTATGGAAGTTTGATACTTATATAATATTTAAATCTCTAGAAAAGAAGTCGAAAAAGAAATTTACGCTCTAGAACAGAAATTTCATGACATATACCGTTTTAGGTCTTAGAGATGTAGGGTATAACGACATGTCCTGGATTAAACTGTGTTGAAATTTAGGTGCTAGCAACAATGACTCTGAAGAGTAATATCTTCATTGATGAGATGCCGTTTAGAATGGTAGAAGTTTCCCGATGTTTCGGAGGAAAGTACTGCATATATTTTCAGGGTCGAAGAACAATCTAAGCAAACAAACAAGCAGTAAGTAGAGCAGAACATGCAAAGTAATTATGCTTCTCGGGCTCACTCTTAGACCTTGAAGATGAATGTAGTAGGTTCCTCTGGAACGTCGGTAAATTCCTACCGTACTACACAGAATCAAATCCAGGAAGGTAGTACTCTTCACAGTCACCGCTGTGAGGACTTGAAGCCTTACATAACTTTGTGTGTCTGTATGCATATGATACTATTATAAAACGCTTAGAGTCAAGTCACTTTATGTTCCACGCATTGCAACGTTCATTTCTCGCATTTCCCTTCTGTTCCACAGTAATTGTACTGCTGACCCTTGCCACATTCTGGCTCCCGCCGACAGCAGGAGAGAAAATCTTGCTGAATGGGTGTACAGCCACTATAATCTGCATATTCCTCCTGTATTTCTCACAGAAGTTGCCGGCCATGGCAGGACATACTCCTCTTGTGGGTATGTAAAAACAAATTCATGGTTATGCCAAATATCACTGAAGGTAGGTCATACCTTGAGTAAGAAACCTTACACAGGAAAAGTCCTGTGTGTTCAACATCTCGCAAAAGGGAAGAATTAAAAATGTTATATTTTAGCGTCCTCTTACACTGATTCATGTCCATGGTTTATGCTAACCGTCTTACAGTGTATACACTTTTTCACCTTATTCTTCACTTCCACACTACATGTTTCGGCACTAATGTGCCATCCTCAGGTGTCTTTATGCACGTTAAACTATTGTACTGCATGCC